CTTAGTAAATGACTTCATCGAAAAGAAAAATTTTTCTTCACTGAAACCACGTCTTACCTTGCGAACATTAAAGTCTTCATCCATGAGGCACTAATATGTTATTCATTTACCTGCATCACCGCATTAGACTGCGAACTAGTTTTTGAAACTCAATTTTAGAAACCAGACAAATGGTTTTTACTTCATGATATGAAAAAGAGGTCACAATTTAAGCATCTAATTCAGTACTATCCAGAGGGAATTAGAATAGATAGATTTCTTACTTTGTAATCATATATGATTACCAGTTTGACTATTTGACATAGGCATGGTCTGGAAGACTACTGAGTGTTGATTGGAAGTAAAATGAAAATCTGGAACGCGGCACAAATTGACTGGTTCTCTTTGCATCCATGTCTCTGTTTTGGTTTCATAAACAACAACTGAATACACAGTTTTATTTGGTCTATTGAAGTTATACTGTACACCTTAGATTTCCTTTGATGCAGTCTGTACATAAGGCAAAGTTTTCGACACAAATAGGTCCATGAATAGTCTACAAACCTCGTTTAACTTTAACCAAAATAGATTACCACAAAATTGAGTAGGCGAAGTTTGAGCTTTGAGCTCCAACGTTTTCTCTTGAAAGCTCCATTACTAGAAAAGACACCTTCTACTTCGTAAAGTAGTAGATCAAATAGTCGCTGATGAACTCACCTATCCTGGTAATGAAACATCCAAAAACGAACCTCAAAGCTCGTAGAACGTCAAAAAATTATCACCTTCAACTTGAGCTACATATCTTCTATACTACTTCAAGATGGAATTTATTGTTATTTCACATGTCAACTGAAAAAATCGTACGAACTATAGCTATTAGTAACAAACCTCATACGATAAATGTTTGAAATAATGGACCGGACTGAACTGAACTGGATAAGACCGGGCTAGACTGGATCATGCGACAAACTGTGAGGAGATGGGAGGAAGATAGACATAAGATAGTTGATCAATGAAAACACCCAGGAAGAAGAAGATTCAGATTTCACCGATGGTCACTCATGTGTAATGTCGCACAAACTCGAAGACCAACAAGTGAGAAGCAACAAGTTGACAAAAGGAGCAGAGCAAGGAAGACAGGACGTCGTTCAGGTGAGCGCAGAGAAGACAAAGGTGATATAGCTACCCAACCAGCAGCAACAACAATAACAAGAGACACTAATTGCGACCAAGGGTAGAGATCTAGAGGAAGTTGTCGCTTCCACCTACTTACCTACCCACCCATCCACCTCCCCACCTCCCCACCCACCTAACCACCTACCTACCTACCTACCTATATACATACATACATACATACGTACATACATATATACCTGCCTACCTACTCAGAATCGTCCCAAATACAGGTGGTGGCGGTGGCACAGATGACGATATCAAAGCCAACTAGAATAGGAAAGATAACAAGACAGACCATCATTAATCTGAAATTAGTGTGAAGATCCACTGCACTGCACTCAGCATGAAGCATGAAGCATGAACAACATCCCAATTTTCAACACCATTTCAGTCAAGTCACTGCTTCCATATGATGGTTGAGAGACTTGACGACGTGTCACGCAGAGCATTTCCAACAAACAGCTGATACACATCAACCATCAGCTGTCGCTTACACTCACTTGATACTGCAGATTCATGAGATGACGAGAATAATGAGAATGAGCAAGGAGGAACTGTGGCTGGCTGGCTGGCTGGCTGGCTGGCTGGCAACGAACCAACCAACCGAGAACCTATCTCTCAACATATATGCAGAGGAAGAATGTGGAGATGGATTGGATTAGATTGGATATAGACTGAGAAGAGAGTTTGGAGACATCACGAGTCAGGTCAGGCCAGTCGGTCGAGTGGAAGCCGAATGGGAAAGCATGAGTGTGGAGTCCGTGGTGAGTGTGAGATTGAGGAGGTAATGTGAGTAGGAAATGAAAGGTAATGGGTAGTGGTGGCGTCAGGTTGTAAAGACTGTAGAGAAGAGAGTGAGACGGGTATGTTCTACTGTCGCCGTATGTTCCACCAGGAACCTAAAGGACAGATAATAATAATAATAAATTGTTACTTCACATGTGTGGCAGCTGGGTTAGCAACAGAAAATAACTTTAGTATACATCATTAAGGTGGAGTTCCATCATACATACAATATCCATAAATAAAGCAAACAGGGGTGAATCTAAAACCACCTAAGCAACAGCTGAAATAACGAATTAGTCCTCGTTATGTCACAAGATAGCCTTCCTGTTTGGGTTCGTGTTTATAGTCATTGCACCCGAACAAATTCAGTTTAAACAGGTGAATTGCTCAAATCACCTGAATCTGACTAGTTGTCTTGCTTGGAGCGATATACCTTAAATAAAATAATGGACTTACAAATAATTTATAAATTGCATGGTCCACTCTAATGTTTGTCACAGATGAGTAGTTTTTCAGCTGCTGGGTTGTGGTCTCACAGTAAGGTTTCGATTAAAAACCAGCCAGACTAAGTCACAAGATGTTACTTCTGAAACAAAAGCGTCAAGTACACCAGTAGTTGAACACCACTCAAGCTGATCTAAAGATTTTGTAGCCTACTCATTTAGTCGAAATACAAAATCCTTTTTTGTTGTTTCAGTAGTTGATACGACGATCTTTAGAGTCATACCAAAAATTTATTTCTAAAAGCAGTAAAAGATCGCTCACTATTACACGAGATGATTAAGTTAATCAGAATCATAAAGAGATTGACAAACTTAAAATGATAATTTTGACTATCTGAGATAGCCATAGTTTGGCAGACTAGTATGATTGAAAGGGAAATGAAAATTTGAACTGCGACCGAACCGAAACCACTGACAATCGGGTCCTAGTAGCTGAGTTGGTAGAACATCAGGCCGAAAACCCAGTGGTTACTGACTCAAATCTGGTCACGGTACAAATTTTCTATTCACCTTCAATCATCACTTTAGGCATAAATTAAAAATTGGTTGTTGATATGCAGTGAAACAGTTAATTGTCCAATTGATAGATGAAAAGTAGGTGAGAAAAATATATTATATATATATAATATATATATATAATATATTAACACAGAGAGTGAATTTATGTGTTCATTTGATGTTAACCCATTATTAAACAATTTCCCTTCGTTTAAGACAGTTGACACTTTTATGTGATTATATTTCTGTGCATAATTTTTCAATACTCATTTCTTTAGATCACTTAAAGTAGCTACAACTTTTATGTACAAGTAAAATTAAATTCACGTTTGATGGCATTGCTGTGCATTGTCCTTTAGGTCCCCTCTTAGCTGATATATTTATGTCATAAGTGTAAAACTCAACTGAGGATTTGAATGATTAAGCCCATCTATATCAAAGATTTGTCGACGATATTCTAATTATCTGTGAAAATTTAATTCAGTCCGCTTCAATTCTAGGCCGACTGAATGAAGTATAGAACAGAATATCTTTGACATGATTGGAGTAGGAAGATAACTACTCGAACATATTAATTAGTCGAAGGTAGGGTGGATCCATAAAACGATCTATCTACAGAAAACCTATATGAACAGGGCAATATTTGAAAGAAGAAAATATCCTCCTCTTCTTGTAGTTAACCTTGAAAAAGCCAAAAACAGAGATAAGGCTACACGGTTAGAGACATGATTTACTTTCTGTTTTATCTCGGAATATCGCTAAGACTGGGTCTCATGTGCTAGAGATAACTCTAGTATAATAGTTATAACAGCATTCTTCTCCTGTAAGACTTCTATAAATCTGTGAAATTAGCATTGAGCCAATCAAGGGATTGAAATAAAACGATGCGGTACCGTTTGGGGACAGTCAGGTGGGGGCAGTCACCAAGAATCTCTGCTCTGCCTAGGTTTCCTGCTTATCAGCATTCATCAAAAGGACGTATCTGAAACCATACTCGAAGAACCTGATGTCTGGCCAGAGATTTGAGCCTACATCCCCTAATGGTGCAGGCAAAGACGTTACCACTGGAGTATGTGCGTAATTTCGAAAGTTAAACTTATCCTATGGCTCACTGGTGACTAGCGTCAAGCGATGATTCCCGAAGTTCCAATGAGAAGTCGTGACAGGGTGACATTACATAGTAGTCGAGCTATATCGTGACCTGGATTTCGACTTAGTGGGTCAGTGGTAACGTGCTGACTGCGGAACCTGGAAGTTCTGGGCTCGACTCCTGGTGGGATAGTGGATGCACACTAGGACAAGATAGCTGCAGTGCCCCCGAGTTTCTAAAGTTTGTCTAATTGATGTCAGTCCATGATGAATACCAACCTGGAATCAATAAATCCCCATAAACCTCAAAATTGCATACTGTTTCATTTTTTAAAGTAATAGCTAACTTAATATATTTCAGTGATTTTTGATCGTTTTTCCTCAAGCACAAATACATTTACATTCTTGTTTGCACAATGAAATTTCTGATAGTGTTTATGATCTCATAATGAACTAGAAAAGTGTGATATTGGACCATATTTATTAGTGATAAGAGTTTAACATTAGTCCCATCGACGTTGTAGATACTCCTTGCTGACGCGTACCAATAAGTATGAAACCTGGTTTCAGGATCTTCTACTAATAACCTCCAATCAACTAACATTTATCCAAATGCACCACAGTGGTGGACCTCTTAGATTGGTGGCCACATTGCAAAATGATCAATAGAATTCGGTCGACGCCTAGTACTAGATAACTCAAAATTGCTTGGCTTACAGTGACTAAGAAATGTATGCAAACACTGTATTTGAGGCTGACAAAATCATATTTAGCATACTAACAATACTCTTCTCAAGTTTAGCTTTTTTACATGAAGGCAATTTCATATATGTAAAGCATGCTGTCTTATGATTTCAGTTACCTTCATCAGAAGATAAGTTGGGATTACTATTATTCACCAATACAAAATTATCAACAGAAACAATCGAAAAGTTCATTGGATAGCGTTAAGAAGAAGTTATTACTTACCTCTTTGAATAGGCACCAAATGCAGTAAAGGGAGATAGTGAAATACTCCCTAAGCAAGCCATAGCTAAGCAATAATGTAATTTAACCACATCATTTGATAAGGTTGATTTCAACTTTGATAACCGTGAGATATTCCTCATGTGAAGACAAAAGCCTGTTAAACCTAAAACAGATAACAACAAGGAAACTAGTAAGTAGTATTGAAGACTTCTAATAAATAAAAGGAAGTCAGTAGTATAATTGTAGAAGAGTTTTAATGCAACAAGCAATAAGTGAATTTGAAAGAAAATTTAGGGATATGATAAGATTAAAGTACACTTCACATTGAGGGTCCATTACTCTACCAAGTATGTTATGGAATCCAACTTCTTGGAACTTCCAAGTTTTACTTCAACCAATTCAACAATACACACCAAAGCATTAAGTTTATAATGGAATATGAAGAAAAACAGCGAAACAACTTGGAGTGGTCAGTACTCAAACTTTAATAGCTGCTGTCCAGTCAGATATAATTGTGGTCTAGTGGGGACGTTATACTAGACGGCACAGAGATTATACTCCGAAGAAAAATTACAAGAAGAATTTCAACCAATTGAATAATTTGTATACAATAATGGTTATCCGATGAAGTTCATGCATAAGTACTTTAAAAACAAAGAGAATAAAGTGGGATATAGCGCTGTTGAAAATAAATCATTACTTTTTACCCCACCTTTTAAGAGAGGTAATTTCGAGACAAAAATCAATAGACAAATTAGTAATTCACTTTTCAGGAACTACATGGCTGTAAGGCTTGTCTCACTTGGCCAACCGACATGTGCAAATACACAATCCAAACTAGATTAAGTGCCAACTCCTGTTAACTCCAACTGCGTTTATCACTTCACATGTACATGTGATAGCAAGCACTTAAGAAGAATAGAGAGGTGATTGTTTACTGAGATTGCTGGAGACTTACCAAGCAGTCTAGGTCTTACATATCCGTCTTTATTCACCAATGAAACAGCTTGTCAGTTATATGATACGGTGCATTAAGTAGACGCAATGAAATCTTTCATAGTAGTCAACAGAAAAGTAAGCTGGTGCGTACTTCGAAGTACCAGAGCCATCACTGTTACACGAGTTCAACCTGAACAATGTGTTCAAAAGGGGATAGTTACCAACTTATTATTCCTGTGGTAATGAGTGACTTTTCACCCTCTCATTTTCCTAAAATACTTTTAATGCATTTATTTTAGACTTATTCACGTCCATATTCATAATGACTAGAATTTCACTATCATTGTATTTGTTATTATTACCATAATTTTATCTTATCAACTTATCAACCTACTGACGTAACATTTATATGTGATTAGGTAATCGCCTCCACTTACTTCTGATCTTATCTTACTCATTTACGAACATTCCTTACCTTGTCCTATCTAGTCTGACTGAACTAACAGTTTTGACCAACTTTCACATAAATCATAGTCCTTATTATTATTATTTGACCCTTGGGTTCCTAGTGGAGCTTACGGCGCCAGGAGAACATACCCGTCTCACTCTCTTCTCTACAGTCTTTACAACCTGACGCCACCACTACCCATTACCTTTCATTTCCTACTCACATTACCTCCTCAATCTCACACTCACCACGGACTCCACACTCATGCTTTCCCATTCGGCTTCCACTCGACCGACTGGCCTGACCTGATTCGTGATGTCTCCAAACTCTCTTTTCAGTCTATATCCAATCTAATCCAATCCAATCCAATCCATCTGCACTTTCTTCCTCTGCATATATGTTGAGAGATAGGTTCTCGGTTGGTTGGTTCGTTGCCAGCCAGCCAGCCAGCCAGCCAGCCACAGTTCCTCCTTGCTCATTCTCATTATTCTCGTCATCTCATGAATCTGCAGTATCAAGTGAGTGTAAGCGACAGCTGATGGTTGATGTGTATCAGCTGTTTGTTGGAAATGCTCTGCGTGACACGTCGTCAAGTCTCTCAACCATCATATGGAAGCAGTGACTTGACTGAAATGGTGTTGAAAATTGGGATGTTGTTCATGCTTCATGCTTCATGCTGAGTGCAGTGCAGTGGATCTTCACACTAATTTCAGATTAATGATGGTCTGTCTTGTTATCTTTCCTATTCTGGTTGGCTTTGACATCATCATCTATGCCACCGCCACCGCCACCGCCACCGCCACCGCTGCCACCTGTAGTTGGGACGATTCTGCATAGGTGGGTAGGTAGGTGGGTGGGTAGGTGAGTGGGTGCGTAGATAAGTAGGTGGAAGCGACAACTTCCTCTACATCTCTCCCCTTGATCGCAGTTGGTGTCTCTTGTTATTGTTGTTGCTGCTGGTTGGGTAGCTATATCACCTTTGTCTTCCCTACGTTCACCTGAACGAAGTCCTGTCTTCCTTGCCGTGCTCCTTTTGTCAACTTGTTGCTTCTCACCTGTTGGTCTTCGAGTTTGTGCGACATTACACATGAGTGACCATCGGTGAAATCCGAATCTTCTTCTTCCTGGGTGTTTTCATCGGTCAACTATCTAATGTCCATCTTCCTCTCATCTCCTCACAGTTTATCGCATGATCCAGTCTAGCCCGGTCTTATCCAGTTCAGTTCAGTCCAGTCCAGTTGAGTGGACGATAATGAGGAAGATGATGGGTGATAGTAGTCGGTATCCTTATTTTACTCCTGTTTTCACTTGAAATGCATAACTGAGTTTTCCATTGTGAATCATTTGGCATATAGCGTCGTCATATAGCATACAACTGTTGAGTGAGTGTGATTAAGGTTTGTAGCACTAAAACCGTAGTGTTGAAGCAGTTGCCAAATTACTTCTCGGTCGACGCTATCGAAGGCCTTTTCAATGTCTATGAAGTTGAGGTAGATAGTTGACTGGCATTCTATACTCTGTTCTATGATGATGTGTAACGTAGCGTTGCAATTTTTGATCCGCACATGATTTGTTGTTCCTGAAGCCGGCCATCCAGGCCGCCTTTTCTGTGGTAATTTTGAATTGAGAGCATTTTTTAGTCTCTCCAGGATGATGCGGCTTAATATTTTGCTTGGGAAGGATAGGACCTGTCAAACCAGGCGTCCTCGTCTTAGTTTAAATGTGGTTTAATTCAATGAAAGAACAAACTAGCAGACTGTTGATGAGACGATTCAAGATAGTCTTGACTGGTACAACGGTAATAGTGAAAAGAAAATGAATATTAAAATGGAAATTATTCTTGAGTCACGGTAGAATTGAAATCAGTCAGCGTTTCTCTAGCCTTCATCGTCCGAGAAACATTTTCAGAGAGTTTTCCCACTGATAAAATGACTAGGTGACTAGTCAACTTTACGCACCAAAAGAAGACTAGGTGTGATTGATGGATAGTGGCTGGCAGTGGAATCCATGGCGTGCGTTTCGTTCTGTTTGGGACTCAGCTGGATGTACCGGCCGCTCAGTGAGCTGTGTTGCTCCCTTTAGGACTCAAACTCCGAACCGGAGTAATTTTGGGGCATCGTCACAGGAGTCTATATGTTAATAGAAACCGATCAAGTTCAGTATAATCTACGTTGGGGTAATACAAACAATATCATATCAATCATCACTTAGTATCAGTATCAGAAAAGCCAGGGTAGCTGTTGCAAAAGTAAATAAGTTGTTGAAGTCTAAGAAGGCGCAATGCACGAAAAACATATGACGTCATTTATTCTCGCTGTATTTAGATATCAGTACACGCATGTCACAGTTCTAGCTCTCATCACCAGGTGAAATATTGGAACTAGCTCGTCGTCCTAGTGATATCTGAATCAAATTCGAGAATTGGACAGATCTATGACATATTGGTTTTTATGAATATTTTGAGACTGCCGATATGATTCAATGAACTATGAGCATCAGATTGAGATGTACGTGCTAGGTGGTTGGAAGTATTCGGAAGAAAACCACAGGCCTAGGATTCATGGTTATTTGCACTTGTCAGCACGGAGTATCTACAACTTTAAGAGGACTGTTTTCCCGTCAGACATTTTGGTCCGCCTCACTGTGTGGTTCATTCAGAGACTTCACTACCGGACTATTCGGGTTGTGAGTAACCTCATTTAAGAATGGATTAGATGCACTAACTGGTTATTCTTCAGTAACGAATCAATGAGTTGTTTGTACCAAGCAGCTATCTTTCGTTATTTTACGCCAAGTTTTTCAACCTATTGTTTATTTGATCATGTTTATTAACTGACAATCTAAACTGCATCTACCAGTTAACTTATCATAACCAATGTATTCAAAGGGCATCGACATTGCTGCTAAGTTGTCTTTCCCATATGCCTGCATTTAACCACTAATAGAATAAGCTGCTTTGTATCTCATTGTTACCTGTCGGGTGAGAAATTTGTTGATAATTCTCGAGAACTAGCTTCACAGTAGTTTAATTGATGAATAACTCATGTTGTTTCAGGGGAAATCTTGATCTTCTCCCAATTTTTCGCCGACTATTTTTCAATAATAAACAATACCAGCTGATCGTTCAAACACGAATCCCTTCTGTTGAATTCAGGTGTTTATGATAATTCAGAGCTACTTCATTTCATCATCTTTTATTGTTCAGAGAATTTTATCACTATAACTTTTCTATTCTCCTTTCATGTAGAACTTCAATTTTATGCTTCAAGCCTATTCACTGTTCACTAATGGACAATGTTTCATTCTCGAACTACTGCATTTCTAAAAAGTAGAAAGAAGCCATGGAAAGTAGTAAATCTATCATAGTATCTAAAATATGGATTTCTTTCTTTATGTACATTAGTGAGAGACTATTCGTTTGTATGCACACCTCAAATTATTATCATACTGAAGTTTGAAAGGAAATAACAGTTGAATTATACACTTTCTAGAGATTGAAGGGCATGTCTCATGCATAAATTACGCTGGCATGAATACTGTTCATTAATATATTGGTAGGATGACTACAGTGGCAACATTTACTGTCATTTGAGGGCTTGAAGGTTCCATTCATATCATTTAAACAGCAACTGAAATGCACAAAATAAAGTGTGACTGAATTGGCATTTCAATTGAAATTCTTGGCAAAAGCTATTTTTTTCTCAATTTAACTATCTACGCTGTGGAGACAGTAGAACACAATAACTTTAAAGGTATCTTCTGCAGTGTGTATCATCAGTCATATGGCGCCGATGACCTGTCTATGGAGAACAAGGTTAAGAAGTCCGATCCTCCAAGATGGGTGTTTCATGAAAAATATACACTCATTAATTCTGAACTATAATAAATGAAAACACTTTTTTCCCGATAGAAATTTGAAAACAAGTAACAAATGTAATTAAAAGAGGATTTATGCAATTCCTAAATTTCAATTAGACTCGTCAGCTTTTTACTTTGCATACATGGTTTTATATACTGTTGTACAATAATGTAATGCGTACGCACATAATACAGTCTAATACATTGACTGAGGTATGATAACATGGAATGTGAATCATTTATTTTTTTATCAAATAGAGCTAAGCTTAAGTTAGAAGGAGGTACCAGTTGATAATGAAAAACAATAAGACTAGGAATGGATTACATCGTTTCAAACAGAACTACTGGTAATTGAATTTTTGAGGGGGTTGTGGGGATTTGAAAATATTCCAGGTTGTTATTCATCGTAGACTGACATCAGTTGGAGGAACAACGGAGACCTGGGAGCACTGGATAGCTGTTTCGTCCCAGTATGGGACTCCTCTGCAGTGCGCACCCACGACCCCGCCAGGGATTGAACCCGTGACCCTCAGGTTCCGCGGCCAGCGCGTTACAACTGAAGTTATAACAGAAGTTGGAAATATGGAGCATTGGACTGTGACCCAGTGGCTTAGTTGTAACGTGCTGGCCGCGGAACCTGAGGGTCACGGGTTCAATCCCTGGCGGGGTCGTGGGTGCGCACTGCAGAGGAGTCCTATACTGGGACGAAACAGCTATCCAGTGCTCCCAAGTTTCCTTTGTTCCTCCAAATGATGTCAGTTTACAATGAATAACAACTTGAGAACTACTGGTGGTCAACTGGATAGCTTGATAAAGGTGCACTTTAAGAGGACATAGGTGTTAGTTAAACAAAAGTATTGATTATTATAGTAATAATACAAGTGAGTGACTATAATGATAATGATAACAATGAAAATATGAATATTAAAAAGATTAAAAACCACGTCATTTAAAAACAAGGTAAATGAACACCAATTAAGAAGCTTGGTAACGGTGTAAAACTGAAGGAGGTTAGAGCAATAGTTGGACGATAACAGTGATAATGATTATGGTGATAAGTCATTTAACTATTAAGCGAACTTCAAGAGGACAGTAGAATGGTAATGATGAGGTAAATATGCAAAGTATGGGAAGAAATAAAGTGGAAAAACAAGACATTCATAAAAATGGTAATAAATAACTTCAAATCACTTCGATACCTCTACCATAGTAGATTTAGGGTGACTACCATCTTTTCCAGTTACACATAGGCTCAGTTTACGAACTCTAATAGCACATGTCTCCATGACTGCAAGCATTTTGATCATCATTTAATTGTCTGAGATGGCCGTAACTTGGTAGACTAGTATTTCTACTGGGTGATGATTGAAGGTGAAATGAAAGTTTTGACCGCGGCCGGAAACCTGGTGGTAGCTGGTTCGAATCCGGCTGCTGTCTAGATTTTCATTTCACCTTCAATCATCACCCAGTATAAATACAAGCATTTTCTTATTCAGCTGCCTGCTGATAACTGAGAATGCCTTCATGGTGTTAACGTCTTGTCGATTATCCTCTAGGTGTTTTGTAATCGAACTCCGCGGGATTTTTGATTCGGTTTACCTTAACTATTTAGATAAATGCTCAGTTATGTGACTAGACAGACTTCTTTGCGTACGAGACATGTATTTGCTTCCACAAGTGCATTTGAAGCGTTATATACAGTTGGATGTGTCAAGGATGGGAGTCATGTCTTTTCGTGATCACTGAAACACTCGCCTGGTGGTGCTCAGAAGTTTATTTGATGGCCTTGTCTAGCCTCCGCTTAACTTCTTCTATGACATCGTCTCCTTTAAAAGGCAGTTTAATAGAAGCTGACTTTTTGGAGCCCTGAGAACTGCTGTTTCGCATTGTCTACTTTTCGAATACTTATTGACAAAGCCTTCAGGGTAGTCATTTTTAGCTAGTATATGGTTCATTGTTTTTATCTCATAATCAGTGGTACTGCAGGAGGAAATTTTCTTTGTTCTATGAAATATGGTTATGATTAAGTCTCTTTTATATTGGATTAAAATAAAACTCTTGAAGTGGAGATATTATCCGGACCATGAAGGCTTTCTGCAGGTAGATCATTTCTTTTTACGAAGGAAATGTCTAGGAAGTTGGTAGGATCATTTTCTTCGTGTTCAGGTATGAAGTTGTGGTTTACATGACAAAAGTTAGAGTTCTTCAGCGGAGTTACTTCTCCCACTTTATTTTTATATACAATGAAAATATCATCCATGTACCACTGGTACAGTTCCATCTGTTCTATCAATTTCTTAAGGTTACTAACCTCCAGACCTGTGAGAAATAAGTCAGAAATAAGTCATTGAACAACAGTATATAAAATCATGGATGTAGAGTAAAAAGCTGACAAGTCCTACTGAGATTTATGAATTGCATAAATCCTGCTTTAACTACGTTTGTTGATTGTAATAATAAATGGTCAATAGATATCGTCTTCCAACTTTAAGGACTATTGCATAGACAAAAAGTTTCTTAATCAGCCTCTTGTTTAAGTAGAATAGTGTTTAAAGTAAATGTACTCAAAACCAAATTACTTACCAGCGCAGATAAATGCTGTAGCGATTCCATATTGATAAATATCAATATGCTGACTGTATTCTTCAGTAAGCATGTTAATCCAGAATACTTAATATTACACAATGCTTTACGTTTTTGAAGTCTTCCTTATAATTCCCTTGTTTATCTATTGTAATAAACTCTTAACTCTGTAAGGTCATTTAGTATGTTCCAAATCCTTAAAATTTGATTGGCTGAAGTGTTTAGGATGACAAAGGGACAGAAAGTAATAATTATAACAAAGCCTAAAGAAATCAATGAATAAATTATAAGACAGTATGAAAGTATCAGGCTAACAATGAAAACAAAGCTATTCTTTTGATGTGAAAGATTTTTGTGTGATTTTAATAAAAAAAATGGACTAAGACTGAAAGCTTATTTTTTAGTTTTCAGATTGCAAAGGAATATTTGAGGAAACATAATATAGGCCACGACCTGGCATCATTTAGAGAACCATTGAGAGTCTGGGAGGGCCAGAAAGCTGTTTCGTCCTGGTGTAGGACTCGTCAGCAGTACACTTCCACCAACCGGCTAGGAATCGAAGTTAGGACCTTCAGGTTTCACAGTGAATGTGTTAAATATCTAGCCACTCTATTACAGTTCAAGGGTCAGCACAGCAGTTTCTGTCAGGTTTACAATGGTCCTCCTCAAATTACATCATGGAAAATATGTTAAGAGTAGAATTAATGACGCAGGCAGCCAGTGTGGGTACGATCAAGCGATAGTAAAGCGTCATGAATTCAGATGATAGTCGGGCAAAACTCCGCTTGTTATTTAAGTGAAATAAAAATTTTGTCAGCAGTTTGACCTCGTAGGTCAGTTGGTAGAGCGTTGGGTAGGAAACCCAGTGGCTGCTGGTTTGAATCCGGCCGCGATCCAAATTTCCATTTCATCTTTACTCATCACCAGTATAAATTCTACTCTGCCAAATCACGACTATCTCAGCAAAAAAAATTGATAAACTGTCTTAAGAATACCACTCAACGTCAATCCCATTGTTCAAATCAAAACTGACCTAGCATAGTCATCATCATGTTCGACAGGGGATCATATATGTAGTCACATAGATGAATATAACTACAAAATGAAGTGTCATGCATTCTTAGCAAAATACAAACAAACAACACGTCCCATCAAATGATCTTTGAAAACTAGGAGTTAAGATGACCCCTAATAGTGTCAATTTCTTGACGTGGATGTTATCGGCAATGTAGCACTTACATCACCAAAACCTACGGGGTCGTATCGCCTAAATCTAAGGGGATTATCTGAGATTTATACAACTTACAGTCAATCATGTCCAATGCTGTTCATGAACAGTTAGTTCTCCCATCCATGAATTGCTCACTAGTGACATGATTCGAGATTAGATTTCCCGAAATTCTTATCATCAGTTGTAACCAATAAGGTAGATCAAGTTGGACATAAGGACTAACAGTAAACGATAGCACTGAATAAAGGTTTCATTATATCTCGAACCGAGACTGAACGGTTAAATACTACTAATGACACCTGAAGATTCTGCGTTTAGTACCTGGCGAGGTCATGGGTTCGTACTACTGAAGAGCTCCACACTTTGACGAAACAGCTATCGGATACTACCAGGTTCCCATTGGTTCGGTAACTAATATCAATCGGTGATAAATACCAATTTCAAAAGTTTAGTTTAATGTTAATTCCTTATTTACTCAGTTTGCGTATAAACAGAACTATGAACATTATTCACTACTTCATATTCTCTAGTAAGTACTTCGTCCCTATCTATCCTTTCAAAATGTTTACTAGTACACACACATGTAGTTCATTTCACAGATAGAATACAAGCATTTTTACAAGTCAATAATGTGACATTGAAAAGTTTCTTTATATCATTGTCAGCTCATGTTTACATGTCTTATTGAAAATCTGATTAACCATCTAACTGATAACACTGCTCATCATAGGAGATATTTTAACGATATAATTGTAATATATGACAACCATGAGGAAGAATGTAACCTGTTTGTTAGAAAGTAATAATGTCGTACAAGACTGCCCATTTGACCTATGAAGATGGACAAACTAGCTGAGTGGTGGTCGTGGATATACCCTTAACTTGGAGGGGAGATGGTTCAAAAAAAGCCAACTAATGCTAAACTTAAGTAAACTGTAGAGTATTTAGGTTACTTCGGTTTCTAACCAATGGAGTACTGCTGAGGCTAGAGAAAATACCTATTTGATAAAACCCGAGATAATTACTCATCAAATACAACTTATGATGAAACCAAAGTATGAATTGAAATACGAGTTGGATGAAAACTATCGGTAAGAAGTCCAAAGGCTCGGTTTCGTGCTTGTAGGCACTCGTCAGGCACTCTACGGAACAGATGTCCCGTCTGAGAGTTAACCTCTAGCCGCCCAATGGTGTAATCAGAGACCGGTGGCGGTTGATCACCTCAGTGCCAAGTCAACGTTAGAATTCAAGGAGCACGTGAGTTTAGAAAATATGAAGTTTCGTTTTGATGACCAATCATTGTGTGTAACACAGTCCTATAGAAGGTCAATCGCAGGCCAAATAGCTCACTGGATGACATCGGTTTGAGTCTCAGATGTGACATCCGTTCCGTCAAGGTTGCATATACGCCATACTGACTAGTACCCATAAGTACAGAACCTAATTCTAAGACTTCCTGACGATCGCCTGTCAGTGCATCGAGATTGTAGGCCTCTTAGCTTGGTAACCATATTGTAAAATTATCGACAGGATTTGATCAGCACATATAACTAGGCAAATTAAAATTGATTACCCTTAAGTAATCAATCAATGAGCTGAAACACTGACACGAAAAGAATATTGATGAGAGCTTATAAACCACAGCTGAGGTTAACTAACATTGTAACTTTTCTTATATTTCATTTCAGATGAAAGCACTTCTATCACGCTTTTCCATAGAGAAGAATCGTACAGTACAATTTTGAAATGAAGGTTAAGTAAGGTGTGTTATAATGAAGATACGCTATGCAGTTACATTTGTCATGGTTGAGAAAACTAAATATATACTTTAGCACAAACCTCACCATTATATAAGTAATGAAGTTACATTCCACTGTCAATGCAAGTTTAATTTCATTTTAGATTTGTTTATTTCATTTATAACACACAGTCATATAGTATTACTTACTTGATGACGATTCGAGCATACACTAAAATTGCTCATAATCATATCAACATCTGCTTCTTTTATAGTCCTGTCACCTCTTATTCTTAGTATTCATTGGTAGTAAAACTTTACTTATCTCTGGTATAGGTGTTGCGTCATTTCTGTTATAAGTGTTGAGTGTTGATTGATTCGATGAACAGAGATTCAGTAATCAATCTCTCCCTCTCTCAACTTAAATATGTTGGACTTAAGTACAGTGGCTTTATCCCACCCACACGGTTGTCAGGTTGTGTGTTAATGCATGTGTTGCAATAACCGAGGTCCTCTTCTACATTATTGATCTTATTGGTGTCTGTCATTCTATATTTAGCTAAATCACTATGTTCGGCTAATCTAGGTGACACCGATCGGCTAGTTTGACCTATGTATTTGATGTGACTCACAGTCATTATGTGGAGTTTGGTTGATTAGATTATTTTGCTGAATTGGTTCTATCGGATCATTTGGCCAGATGACAAAGCTTATCTCTGAGTGAGTTTGCAGTTTTAAATGGCACCCTAATTCCAGCTTTGTTCAGAATCATAAGTAAAGTTTTTGAAGTGCACTTCTCGTAGGATAACACAATGGAGGCTGTGAACTCCATTCTACTGCTCTTGTCGTTATTATTCGTACTCGTGTGACTGTTATTTTTTCATTTCTTGTTTGTCCGTAGGAGTTTCTTAATAAACTGTGGAGGATAATAATTAACTATTAGTGCTTCTTTTATGTGTTTCAATTCGTTGTTTAGTTCCCTGCACTGACTAGTGAGTTTTCCAGCTCTATCACTTAGACATTTGATTAGACTTGCCTCAACTGACATTGGATGGGATGACTTGAAGTCTTGATACCTGTTGGAATGTGTTGGTTTTTTGTAGACGGTAGTATCCAAGCCACCGTCTGTCCTTCGTTTTATCTTGCAATCCAACATAGGTAGTTCTCCTTGTTAATTTTCTACTTCACAAGTGAATTGGATTGTGCCTACTACTGAGTTAATATGTGTGAGGAAATTGTCGATGTGTTCCGATTTGAACACAGTGAATGTGGCATCCACATATCACCACCATATTTTTGGTGCCGGACTAAATTTTTGTAAAGCCATGTCTTCTAATTATCCATAAATACATCGGCTATAAATGGGGATGTGGAATTAAATTCTACCTACACCTATATTAAGATTACATGTTTAATTATGCATGTGTTTATGGGTTAACACATACAGAAATGGAATTAAAACACATGTACCACTGATAGTGGTAAAGATGTACCCTACGAAAGCTGCTGAATTCTATATCGATGATGTGAGTGGCAGATCATTTGATATTCCAAAACGAGGAACTCTAGTGATCACTAGAAATCTCTTGAATAACCAGTCGGTTTTCTACATGTCACCTGGACAGAGTTTTGTTTCCGTAAAATGCAGGAATGTAGTTGGTTATTTCAGTAGTAGCTGTAATGACATGTAGAATTAAGCAACTCTGGTTGGTATGAGTCAGAGGATTGGTATTAAATTAGTCTTTACCATTTTGAATAGAAACCGCTGGGGTGGGAAAATATAATGCTCATTGCCTCTTCATTTTTCCAATAAAGTCGGCTGAGGAATTACACAATCTATATCCATAGAAGAGATTGTCTGTTTTGAATACCAAGGACCTTTCTTTTGTTTGTATTCCATGCATTTAGGATAAATTATGATAGGCAGGGGATAATTTGAGGAAGTATATTCGGTGGAAAACGCTTGGTAGCCTGTGGTTTAAGCAGGCTGCTGCTGACCAAGTGTTGAATTCACTTCAGTCTGCAGCTGGGTACCCGGTAAAGGTGGGCTGCTTTGAAATCTACTGTGAACTCAGATTTTCATTTCACCCTCAGTCAACACTTCGTACACTGATTATCAAAGAGAAGATCTAATTTTATAGTTTTATT